GGCGGTTCCGGTTCCGTAACCGGGTACCCGGTTCCGCTGCTCACCCCTAGGTAGCGATGCTTTAAGTCGTAAAGAAAAGAGTGGAACAATCAAAGTGTTAGCATTACGATATTCGAAGAGTTAAAGAGATGTTAAATTGAAGCTCTGAAAGATGAAAATGTAACACGGGAACAACTCGTTGGTATGACATTTGTTTTAGTGAAATACAACCGAGGGTTAAATGTGTTTTGACAATAGAATTTGGGTATTTCCTCTTGGTAATAATCATGAAAGGGTTTTGAATGAAGCTCACAAATCTCGTTATTCCATTCATCTAGGTACTAACAAGATGTATTAAGATTTGCATCAATTCTATTGGTGGTCGGGTTTGAAAAAAGATATTACATGTTTTGTAGAATGGTCTTTTACTTGCTTACGTGTTAAAGTGGAGCATCAATGACCTTATGATAATCTACAATTGTTAGAAATTCTAGTTTGGAAATAGGATCATATTATGATGAATTTCATAAAGAAGTTACTAAGAACACCAAAAAGGTTTCGATGCGATTTGGGTTATAGTGGTTCAACTATCTAACTCCATTTATTTCTTACCAATCAAAGAAATGAATTCGATGAAAAGGTTAGCAAAATTATATCTCAACGAAGTGTTAACTCGGCATGGTTTTTCATTATAGATATTTTTTGATCGAGATAGCCCGTTTACTTCAATGTTCTGGAAAAGTTTCCGCATGAATGAGACCGACAGGCAAGGTCAGAGAATGATTCAGACACTAGAATATATGTTACGCACTTGTATTATTGATTTTGGAGGATCATGGCAATGACACTTACCTCTAATTGAATTTTCTTAGAACAACAGTTATCACTCTAGTATTCAAGCGGCGCCCTTCGAGGTTCTTTATTGTGGAAAGTGTAGAACGCCATTGTGTTAGAACGAAGTGAGAGAGAAACAGTTAGAAGGACCAAAAATTGTAAAGTTAATGGTAGATTAGATCAAAAAGATTCGTGAACAGTTAAATATGGTTCAAGACCGACAGAAAAGCTATGCTGACAAACTCCATAACCGATAGAGTTTTAGGTTGGAGATAGTGTGATATTGAAAGTATTGTCGTAGAAAGGAACAATTTGCTTTGCAAAGTGAGGTAAGCTAAGTCCAAGGTATATTGGACCTTTTATGATTAGTGACCGGGTTGGTGAAGTAACCTACAGGTTAGAACTTCTAGATGAGTTGAGTGGTATTCATAGTACTTTCCACGTGTGTAACTTGAAAAAGTGTTTATACTGTTACCAGAAGTTCAAGTGGATGATAAATGGAATTTCATCGAAGATCTAGAAGTTAT